AAGCTGACCAGTGAGTCCCAGGGGTCAGCTTAACTCCACCTCTCCAAAATTAAGGTTACTAGCACAGGCCATGGTGGCTAGAATTTTCCATGGGTTGCAAGACCAAACTCAAATCTTCAATCTTGCATGAGAGTACTTTACTGAATGAGCTATCTCCCTATCCTCTCTTCTGTTTGCTTGTTTGTTTGTTTGTTTTTTAATTCTACACAATAAACAGCATTACTATCTGTTCAGAAAAATGCTTACTGGTAGAATTTTTGATCCATATTTTACACATGTGGTGTTCAGGATAGATAGAACTAACATCTTTGAAGACAGAGGAGTGGGCAACACAACTACACTGACCTTTTAACCTATGTCCTGTTGTCTTTTCCATCAAAATATATACATTCTACTTACATCCTACACAGAAACTAGAAACCCCGGTCACCATCTTGGTTCCCTCTTCCATTCCCTTACCCCAAATCCTAAAGCAGCCTGCTGCTCTGGCCCTCATCCTCACATCCATTCCTCATTCAGGACTCCAGCCCTGCTTCAAGTCCTCATCATGTCACACTGCAATGGCCACAGTAGCCATGAGGACTCTTGCATTATGTCCCAACTTCTCTCCCTCCCTATTGCCACCACAGAGATTCTGTCTCAATGAAGTCCATCCTATAGCTCGCAATCTCGTAGCCACTCACATGATTCTAGGAATGACTGATAGATTATTTGGAAGAGGATACAGGAGGCTGAGGCTTCCATACCCTTTTGTTTCAAATACAATGCAACCTGCCTGGATTTCAGGACTCCTATATGCATTGTCCATTTTACATTTGTCTTGCATGTTCTTCAAGATAGGACCCCTTCTTTATCATGCTCTTCATGCCCCTGTTTGACAAACCTACTGCCATAGACACTACACCTTCACATTTCTTCACTCTACCTTCTCTCTCTGCACTTTCTTGGAACATTGCACCATTAGGTGCATTGCATTCTGGTTAGCACAATTCCATGTGTAGCTATGACTTTTCTCTGGAAACTATGAACTTTGGGTGCTGGAGACTTCCCATGTCTGTTTCCTCAGCACCTGATAGGATCTATCTAGCACATGGCAAATAATCAGTTAGTAATACTTGCATAATAAGAATGGGATCATGGACCTGTGAAATAGTTAAGTGGGTAAACTGTGGATACCAAAACCAATGACCTGAGTTCAATCCCTGAAATCCACATGATGGAAGGAGAATGACTCCAGCAAATTGTCCTCTGGTCTTCATATGCACATATGGCACAAGTGTGGCCTCATACATACATATGTACATACATATCCCCTCACACAAACTTTAACAAATAAGATGAAATTGTAGTCATAAGCAAGGTGGGTTTTAAAACCTGAAATTAAGGGTGGATTTGATATTCTAGGCTATACATAACAAGCCCGATTTGGGTTTATTGCTGATCTGTAAATTGGAGAAAACAGTATCATCTATGACCTAGCAAAGAACCATGAAGTCTTGCTGCTATTCCCATATCTGTGTGCACCTAAAATCACTACATATTTCAAACTGCCATATAACATACCATATACATGTCCCCTAATCTAAACCCCTGAGATCTCTGGTAGCCTATAGTTTAGTGTCTACCATGTTATACCTCAAGTGCCCTTCCCTTAATTGCCTGAACTACTTTTACAACAGTAATCCAGGAATCCCAATTGATTTTACTGTCCCAGGACCAGAATAACCCAGAGCAAGAGGATTACTGAAGATTATGTTATTAGAGTAAGTACAACAGTCACATTCTCCATTCATCAACTCCAAATGACAGGAATCAGAGAGTCCTGGACACACACAGACAATCCATACCTCCTAGTCAGCACACTTGTGATTATTCTAGTCTTTCTCTTCCTTCTACCACATAATTTAGGTTTTGAAGTGGGGGAGAATTCAGCCAAAAGCAATCTCAAAGGTGAGAATCCACTGAGCAGATTGAGGACACTCAGAGGTCTCCTGTCTCCAGCCAGCCCTATTAGAACTGGCAACATTCTTCCTCCAATCAGATGAAAGGCACAGACATGAGTTTTCCCTCTTCCTCTTCTCTGTCCTTCATACTCACATACTCTTTAATTGTAATTACAGTCAGCTCCTTCTTCAAAACACTCAAAGCTGACAGTTTCTCAGTTCCACTCCCTCATTGCTGGGCTCTAATCTCTGACATGGCAAAGAGAGAGGGCACCTACCATGTCTCTACTGAAGAGACATAATCTAACAAGGGATGTGCAGCCAGGTTCAGAATTCCATCTGCATAGACTCAGTGATGCCTCTGTTTCAATGGCTCCTCCTGGCCAGTGACAAGGCTCTTGAAGAACAGCAGGTCTGGGAAAGGGGACAGAGTGAGAATTGGAGTCTGAGCTCTGGAAATGATCCCAGGCATGGCAGTGTCCTTACAGATGTGCCCAGGTTGCTCCAGGGAGCGTGAAGGAAGTCAGCTGTGCTTTCCACATGGGTACCAAAGGAGACCGCATGGAATACAAGTCAGAAGTATTTTTCTTCAATAACATTAAAGATGCCATTCAAGTGTCTAATGGCTTGTTCAACCATTTGACCATGTGGTA